TGCGCTGCGCAAAACTCCGCATTTGAACAGTCGATAGCAAATACTTAAACTAATAACAAAACAGTAGCTAAGCCTAATTTAAATTAGGTTAAACTAATAACAAAACAGTAGCTGATTCAGAAGTGCCAGATTGTCATAGCAAAGTCAGAATTACCTCCTCTCCTAGGCTCACGAAACGGTCGTCCATAAAATGCATTGCTGTTCTGTTGTAAGTAATCAAATCTAAATGTATCTACTTTCGGAAGGCCAAATAAAGTGCTTTTGCTTTCGCCTAGAAACACACAGCGTCTCCCTGACATGCTGCTTCAACACTAACTGCGGTTACTGAAACCACGCCTTCTTTCTTTGCGTGCACATTTGGGCGGCATTATGCTAATATTTCCACATAGTGAGGTAGATATGTGGGGGCGTGTTAGAACGAGCCGTTTTAGGGGGGCGTGGCAGAGTCTTAACTTTGATAAAGAATATCTCTTTGGTTTTGAGACTTTAGTCTTTGCAACTTCAGGGATCTTATCTATGCACAATCAGCTTGTAACACTCCAAAGAGAAAGGAAAACTTGAAATCGCATCATATGACCCCTTTATGATCAAAGTCTTTTTTTTCCACAGAGATTATGAAAATGCTTGAACTGCCCATACATTACTCTACAAAGCGCAAACATTTAACTTTTTTGCGTCAGCTCGGGTAATCACAAATACAAGTATGTTTAATTCTAAATGGTGACATTTATAATTCACTTAGTTTTGCCTTTCTGTCCGTTTGGTGCTGGCTGTGCATTATAACTCTCCACGTGATATTTTTCGCTATTATTATTATTAAAGTAATATTGTATTTTCTGCATGATCTCCTTTGCATTATTAACGTGATGGCTTAAACGTACGTTGTATAATGTGCCCTGCGAGTACATATTAAACAAGAGATGACTCGGATTCATGACTTTATTCCTATTCTATCGGGATTACGTTGTTGTGTTGAGTTTAATGCTTCAACCGGACTCAGAATTGTTTAATGTATTTTTGGAAAGAATTTGCATAAATATTGTCATTTTTAAGTAATTTATCATGATGTGGTGATTCGAGGGAAATGACTGGGTAAACTGAGATACGCCCAAATGTACGGGAGATCAGAGACTATATAAAAAAGGGATGTCAGAGAAACCATCCAGTTGCGCATATTATCTGCGTATTATCTCGAGTCAGCGGTCTGAGTGGCATAATCCCAGACAAAAGATTGGCATCGTGAAACAATTGTGCCGATTTCTGTGATCGTAGATCCTAATCAGTGGTCCTGTGTCATACAGTGAGAGAGGTTCAAAGACAGCCGTTGTCACGGTCTTGCGACCAAAGATAGTCTACGACGCAGCATGATCATCGCACAGTGTGTTTGCTGCTACGATCAACGTTTACTGACCAACCAATAAAAATGCGACATGGTGCTTAAACGTAAAACTGCTTGCCTCAAGCTCTTATCCCTTCCTCTTTCGTCACTTCCACTTTTTCTCAGCACATGTAAAAACTACAACTGCTAAAGTGTGATATCTCACGCTCTTATTATTTATCACTAGCGCATGCTGATGACGTTTTATTCTTTTATAGTAACGTGCGTCGTAGCATATGAGTCAATAGGTGTCAGCATCGTACAGTCTACACACACGTCGTAGCCAAGTTTATTAGATCCATGTCGCACAGTGTGACATGCAGTGATCTTATAGGATTGCTAAAATCGTGCAGTGTGTTTTGGGCTTTACTAGGCATACTAGAAACTTCCAGGCAGGTGTGTTGAGGCAAGTTGGAGCTACACTCTGCAGGAAACCGAGTAGTTTGGAGACGCATGCTTTATAGGATACTGGCCCTTCAGGAGCAAGATTGGACACCCCTGCTCTAATTTTAGGATATTTTGACAAGAGCTCCTGAGGTGATGTAGCCGTACCTGCTGAGGGCAGGAGGAGCTCCTGCATCCAAAGAACCGGCTGAGAGGCGTCTTGGCGGCTCCACCTGAGGCAGCGCGGTGGGTTTTCGCAACAAGAAGTCGCTGACTCCACCCTGCAAGGTTTCTTCTACACGATCCAGAGTCTCGCTGGCTGCCCGCTGCCTCTGAAATGCACGTCTCCGCGGAGAACCTAGGAGAATGCAAGAAAAATGGAGGAATAAGAATATGCACAAATGACCCTCATTGAGTAACACAATCACTGACTGAAACACAAGCTCTGTTCCAAAACCTTCTAAGGCAGAATCACAACTATGGTGAAACCTTAGTGACTGATTTGAGACTCTCTACATAGGCAGTAGTGATGGGTCGTTCTTGAACGATTTGTTCATTTTGAAATCGTGACTCGGGAAGAACGAGTCGTCTCGGGGTGTGATTCGTTCAGTTGCGCATGCGCAACATCCTATAGGTTCAGTACTGGAATTAGTTCATCTTTTTCGAGTCGTTATGGGGCTGTCGCGTGATGAGCAAACGACTCAAACCCGAAGATTTGAGAGATTAGTTCATTTTGCTGAACGAGACTCAAAGGTCCGAGTCGGTAAAATGATCCGAACTTTATCACTAATAGGCAGCATTGTGACATTGTTAATTTAGTATTATTTCTATACTACTATAGCAGGGGTAGCGAACGTCAGTCCTGGAGAGCCCTGCAGAGTTTTGCTTCAACCCTAATCAAACACACCTGAACAAGCTAATCAAGGTCTGAACGGTTACTAGGAAGCTACAGGCAGGTGAGTTTTAATTAGGGTTAGAGCTGAACTCTGACCCGGAGTTCACCACCCCTGTACTATAGCATTTATTAATATTTTCAATTGGCTTTTATTTTTAGTGTGAGCTCCTCACAGTGTGTTCTCCACATCAGCAGGTTTTGGAACGGAGCTACAGAGAAGAAAAGAAGCTCCCCTCAGCCTCAATAATGAGAGCATGTAATGCAATCTATTGCTCATCAGCAGGAAATGAGCATGCAGTACTGACTGACCTTTCACATCAGGTGAAGAATAATGCGATTATTTTATAATTCATTTATCAGGAAGCAGCTTTTGTCCTGCGCTCCTGCTTGAAATCTCTGAGCCAATCAGATCTCACACCAGTCACATGACTGTAACTAGACCGAGCTACTGTAGCCGTATTGATCCGGTATTGATTCTTATTCTCCAGGCTCACACAGGGCTGAATAAGATCTCCGGGTGTAAAACATTGTTTAAGGAGACTGCAAGATGTCTGGCTTTGGATTGTTTCACAGAATGTATAGAACGGATATCTTTGTAGTAAGGTACAACAACGTATTTATTTTCTTAGGAGATTAAGGTCATTTGGAGCAAATAAGCAGATGTTGCTGTTGGTTTTCTCATCTGTAGTACAGAATGTTGTGCAATATTTAATGTGTGCATGGTTTAGTCGTCTCTCTGTTCAGCTCAAAGCTCGACTGTCTGGATTGCTATCTATTTGTTCTAAAATTGTCAAGTTTTCAAGATCGGTTTACGAAAAAAAATGAGGAATATCAATTTTTGCCATCTAACAGAAGGCTTAGAGTTGCATATGCTAGATTGAATAGATTACGTAAATCATTTGTGTATCAGTCTGTAAAATTAATAAATCAGAACCGGGGGTCCAGATAGGGCCTCTGTGCTTTGGTAAATAGAAAGGACTCACTATTCTAATGCAATGTAGCCGTGTGTCTATGTATTAATACTGTTGTTTTTGTATTAAAGTGCGTTTATTGAATTGTTAGTTTAGTAATTGGGTTAGGTAATAATATAGCAGCTCATATTGAACTTTAAAGCATCTTTCAGAAGATAAAACATCCTCTCCAGCAGTGTTAATTTCGTTGACGAATAATTTTCTTCATATTTTTCGCCAATGACATTTCTGTCACCGACAAAGACGAGACGATAACGAACTAAAACTCGTTTTGAATGACAAAAACTGACGGAAATCTGTTGGCATTTTCTTCAACGAATAAAAACAAGACGAAAATATTAGGGAGGGACGATTTGGGAAGAGATTCAATTATTTTTTTTAATTCTTAATAGTAGTAAAAATTATAATCATGTCACATGCAATACAGATTGTTTCAAAGCAGCTTGACGGAGAAAAACAGGAAAATTAATATTAATGTTTCATACAATGTTGATTCTGTTCATCATCAGTTATTAATTAAACTTGATTATTTTGATAATTAATAGAAACTACATATAAACACATTAAAAACAACTAGAAATGACAAATGCACAGCAAAATGATTAAACTCTAATAAAAATGTAAATAAAAAACAAAATATAAATAATAACTAAGTATTTCAGTGGTGCTAAAATAATTAAAAATAAAAAAAATAAATTCAGTTCATCATCAGTTATTAATTAAACTTGATTATTTTGATAATGAATAAAAACTAACTATTATGCCTCTTTTTACAAGATGTAATATTGGTCAGTTAAATCAGTGTATATCATGATAAAACCTTAAAATCACACCTATATAATGAGTTTGGAAATTTTAGAGAAATGCTTAATAAATGCATGACACTAACTAAACCCGTTAGATTTTAGCCGACTAAATTAACTGTAGATTTAGTCGACTAAAATTAAAAACAATGCACATGACTAAAATATGACATGAAATGAAATATGAAAACTAAATGGCATTTTTGTCAAAAAACGAAATAGAAAATTTGCCGTCGACATGAACACTGCTCTCCAGTCCAACAAGAGCATTGAACCGAACTGCAGAAACGACTTGATGTGAACTGCACATATGGATAGTTCATTAATTAAGTGATGAATGTAAGCGTTTGAGGTCATCCTCACCTCTGGTGTCCAGTCTCCAGAACGGACCCGCTCCCTCCAGGCTGGCGTGGCGGCGGAGTTTGGACAGGAAGTGGAACATGGTGCCCTGAGCCGCACAGGAAGTGGAATCTCTGTTCATCACCTCGATCTGGAGAGGAAGAGATCGTGAAAGCGTCCAGCGGGTCACAGGTAACGCCGGTCAATCTCAGGAAAACATCCGGCTCACATTAAAACCCAAAGTCAAGCATATTTAAAGCACCAAGCTCTGTAATGCAGAGTCCAGATGCAGTGCATGCACACAACTGTACAGTTTACAGTCATGCAAATAATGTCACAACAGATGTGTATTTCTTCATGCAAAATTGAAATAAAGCTTAAAAATATAACATATCTAAATCATTAAATGAAATAAGATTAAGTTAAAAACACATCTCTTACTTGACCCTCTATTAGATTTCTATTCTATTAAAAAAACTTGCTCCTTTTAGACTTGCACTCTATTCATTTACTAACTGCTTGTTTTCTTTAAAAATACTAACACTAGCTTCTCTATTTGTTTTCTTTTTATTTATTATACAATTAACAAAAAGCAAAAAGGCCTCTAACACTAGCTTGCTCTATACTTTTTATTATATAATAAAAATAATAATAAAGCCCTTGCTCCGTGTACTGCGTTAGGCTAACAGACTTGTTATAGCAGTTGCGTATCATTGCTCTTTTGTTGATTTTGATTGCTTCCAAGTCACTTTGGATAAAAGCATCTGCTAAAATAGTTTTATTTTTTTATTTAAACAAACTGTAATGTTTATTTATTTTAAATGCTAAAAACTAAAATAGAAAATGAAAACTATGAAAATATATACGGGTATATTTTAATATAATTATAAAAATATGCAAATAGACAATATTATTAATAGTATATAAATAATACTAAAATGAAACATTATCAAAAATGTTGACTTATTCTGGCCGTATTTACTGCCCTGTGTTAATGAACGACTGTATTTTACTGATGATGGCTCACGGTGTGTGATCGGGCCGGTTTGGCGCTGGTGTTCAGTGTGGAGCTCAGCGTGTTTCCAGGCAGAGCGCAGCTGGGGCTTTGAGCGCTCCACAATCCTGCAGCCTCCGGCGCGGGACCCTCCGCGGGCTGAAAACACACACACTCACAGAGACACACAGACACAAACACACACACACACACACTCACAGAGACACACAGACACAAACACACACAGACACACACTCACAGAGACACACAGACACAAACACACACAGACACACACTCACAGAGACACACAGACACAAACACACACAGACACACACTCACAGAGACACACAGACACAAACACACACAGACACACACTCACAGAGACACACAGACACAAACACACACACACACACACTCACAGAGACACACAGACACAAACACACACACACACACACTCACAGAGACACACAGACACAAACACACACACACACAC